AGAACGCAAATTATTTTTAATTAGTCTCATTGAATTATTATTATTATTTTATTGTTATTGTGGTTGTTGTGATGAAAAGTTAACACAAACGATATGGTGGCTAAACGAATATTACATGTAAATATTTTTTTTTTAAGTTATCAACTCTCAGAATAATTAAATTTTCGCTGATTTCACTATAGTTTACTATTATCCTTATACAGTAAAAACACCTGACTAACACACTAACGTCAACACATTCAGTATAAAACCTTTAAATTTGAAGAAATTTATTTATTTAAACCATTAAATTTCACCATGAAGGTATAAAACAGATTTACTAGACAATTTAAGGGTTTAAACATTTTTCGTACGATTTCTACGTTAAAACTGAATTGTTGCATGCAAGGTCTCATAAAACGACAATGTAAACGTACGGAAACATAATGGGGGACATGTGCGTATTCATAGTGCTTTTCTGATTGGTCAGTTGTTTCATTGGCATTTCATTGACATTACAGAAATATCTATCAAGTTAGAGGGGTCGAATAGTTTATGTTTTTTACCTTCATTGTTTGTACTTTTATGTCCTTAATTATTCTAAGATATTGGAATAAAGTAACTAAAATACAGTAACATCTTGAATAAGAGCCAGGAAGCCCAATGGGCTGAATCTCGAGAACAAGCCCATCTCGAATTGAAGCTCCCACCCAATTATTAGTTTGCGAATTAGCCTAAAAAAGAAGCCCATCTCTAAACGAAGCCCATGGGCTCTTTTCAAGATAGCATCGGTTTCTTTTCACTTTACATGAATTTCAAAGAAACAATACATTAAAACACGCTTGGTATACACAGTAGTTTAGGTAATTTAATGCCTGTTGACACACTCCATGATACAGACTGATAAAACAGTGGCATATTGATTGTTTTTTAGTAGTAATTGCCAAAATTTACAGCAGTACTTTTGAAAAGAAGCCCCCCCCCCACCCTCTTTACTTTGCAAAAGAAGCCTTGAAAAGAAGTCCATCCAAAGTTTGCAAAAATAGAGAAGGGCTTCCGTTCGACGTTTAATACGGTACTCCAGTAATCAGCTCATTATTTAGAAATACGCATCATATAATTTTTACTCATTTTGTGTATATGCTAACTTTACTGCAATAGACATTCACCACGCAATACTTTTACAATATTTGTATGATTGTTAACACCAAGACGGTATTTTAATACAAAGAAGGTGTTTGTTATATTGTACAGTAGATGCCATATATTATGCCGATTAGATTTTAGGTGGTAATACTCAAAGCACAAGTGGCATTTGAGGACCTATCATAGTAGTAAAGATTTGGGTAGCTATTTTCCCTGGAAGTGTCGGTTTTGTTGGCATTTCACTGGATAATTATTTGGCTGCTGCTAGGAGGAAAGAAGAGTGCCATTTTGCAACGCCCTGGACCTGTCACAGATTTTTCTCAGGCACTGGCTTACTATAAAATGTTAAGAAATTAAATTCATAACTGGGGCTTTTGGAGTGATCACCAAACAAAAGCTTGTCTTCTTTGTTTATTTGAAATTTGACACAATGAGACACCAATCTTTAAATTTGTAATTCACAGCTCAACTTTCGTTTACAGGGGCATAGGCTGGTTTTGGTCTTGGGGGAAGGGTGCAAAAATTAAGAATGTGGAAATAAATCCCTATTCTAATGAGAATTGATGGTTATTTGAATTATTTAACCCACTTTAGCGTAAGTAATTTTTAGCAATGCTATGTTATTCTTATATTTCTGCCTATGACTTATATTATAACTGAGGTATTACTGGCATCAAAAAATGATGTACTGTAGTTCTTTCCAAAATGTTCTCAACTTGTCAAGTATATTTATTAAAGCTCGGGGCTCACAAGCCGGAGTGCCTGTCCCTCTTCCCTTGGCATTTGGGCCAGACTGTGCAAGGCGTGGGGTGGGGGGGGGTTAGTCATTCTTCCCGCACAGCAGCCTGTTTATATGCTGTGAGCTCTTAATAACCACACTTCATATTTATTCTTTTGCTAGCTATATATTTTAAATTTTTTCATAAAAAATTGAACTAAAACTAAGAATATGAACCTATTATCCTGATAATGATTTTATTTAAAAGTCAAAATAGTGAATCCCAATGGTGTGTCTGATCATTGTATCTATTAGATTTTTAATCAGTTCATGGTTTAGTCTCATCCATTACACCATTTTCATCTATACTGTCCTCTTCAGTGGTTGCCTTTTCTTGGTCAATGACCTTGAGGTCATGGTCCATGTTAAACATCCTCATCTCGTATACATTCATCCTTTGAGATTGATCGTCGAATTCGGGACCAAGTGTCCATAATTTTTCAAGTTCATAGATTTCTCGAGCTTCTTCAAGCATGAAATGGACCACTATATTTCCTTAAAAAGAAAAATATTAATGAGCATTATTAGGAGGGCAAGGAAAGCAGGTACTACACAAACATGATAGGAGGCAAAGTGGGTCCAGAATCCATTTTTTAGTACAGAAATTTGCATAAAAACAGGGGGAATGGTATTAGAATACTAAAGTCGAATAATGGTACACAGCTGATCCAATATAGAAGCTGAAAATTTAAGCTAGTACTTTGGTACAGTATACAGGGGTCCCAAGTCATAAGAAATCCCTTCCAGGAGATCTGGTTAAATGAGCTTCCTTAACATACGTAATTCTATTTTGCTGTGCATGCTTGCCTTGAGACAGTTGATAATAAAAAACATTCAAACATTATGAATTTTGGGGGAGATGGGTTGTTTTCCCATGTGACTCTTGCTTACTTGCAGGAGTGCAGGAGGTCTTCCAGATTTCCTATGACTTCTGGGAGACGTGGGACCCCTGAATATATTTGGTCACAAACTGATGTGCTTCTGGGTTATGGCACCATTTTCCGAAGAAAAAACATGATAACTGAGATAATTAATACTGGAACAAAGAACAAATAACGATACACTGCATAATTATAGTACATGTCTGGAGTACTCAGAAATGATATTAATAATTTCTAATGCGTCATACTGGCGAACGGTGAGTGCTCCTGTGGTACAATAGCACTCCTCATATTTATAGTTACCGGACTACACAGGGGCGGATTTGGGGGGGGGCGGCCCTTTTGGGAGGTAAAAAAAAAGGGAAAAAAAGAGAGGAAAAGAAAAAAATGATAGCCCAGAATGCCTCAAATGTTATGTTCGGGTGTATAGAACACAGAAATTTTCGTGGGGGCATGCCCCGGACCCCCTACGACAGTGTTGTCTCAATCGGCCCAACTTTCGGTCCCCCTTTTGGACATTTCTGGATCCACCCCTGCTACAGGTTAATGTTAAGGAATGTACAGTACTATAAAAACAACAGAATACATAGTTAAAAATCGATAAAAAAAAAGTTTACCGAAATCAATACACATCCAGTCAGTGGAGTCTTTTCCTTCAATGGTCAGGTAACTGTGATACTCAGCTTTCATCTCTTTATACTGAATAAAAATAAAGTAACAAATATTACAGATAAACTAAAATTAAAATTAAAAACAAATAATATGAATGTTGACAGATTGAACTCTTACTTTCTTTATTCATAAACATCTGCATCACCGCTGCGACCAGTGCCACCTTCACCACCACCACCACCATCTAGAGAAGGAATTGATGCACTCTTCTACAAGCACACCACAGCTACAGTCCCTTTAAAGGGGCTACAGTATGTGTCTGGAAGAATGCATCATTTTCTTCTCGAGATCTGTCACAGAAGCTTTTACCTTTTGGTTCAAATGTTGTGCCATTGCCTTCAGATGTCTGGTTGATCTTCCTGTAACCAACACCATGTAGTCGACATACCTCATCTTCTTTGGCAGTTGAATCACGCAAAGATCAGCCACATTCTCTTCTTTTAGCAAATCAACTATCTCTTGAATGTTAAATACATCCTTACCAACTTGATCTGGAAATTAATAATGTAAAATAATTGTATGAATTCATTTCAGTGACCTAAAAGATGAACATAGTGCAGGAAAATGGAACAGTGTAACATAGGCCTAAACAGGGGTATAGGCTGGTTTGTTTTGGGGAGGGGGAGTGGTGTCAAGATTGAGAATGCGAAAATCCGTATTCCAATGAAAACTTAATAATGGACGTATTTAGTATCTTAAACACCACAGTGGGCCGGAACTAATTTGCCGCCATGATGGGGGAGGGGGAGCATCAGCACCTTTAGCAACCCCAGTATACACCTATGATAAGCTATGTGCTTCGTATGAATAAACGATGTCTGACCAAAAATTAGTCAATAGCTCTCTGGATATCCTGCCACTGATGATAGACAAACCTTTTTCTAACATCGATTCAGACAGTTCGGTAACTTGATGTTGGTTGACTCTGATGTCCTGGCGTACTTCTTCTAAACCAGACGTCCTAGTTTCTGAACTTGAAGTTTCATCCTTCTGAAAATGTTCATCTTTGTCCTCTTTTAAAGTGGGACTAGGTTCTAAATTTGGTTGTACAATTGTCCGTTCCTCTTCTGTAACTGGTTCCAAACGTTCAAAATCCGTCAACAACTCTTGCATATATGATTTTGCCTCAGAATCGTTACGGAATCTCTCTGCCAACTTCATATATTCATTGTTTTCATTTGAATAAAATCGTCTATTTATGCCATACAAAAAGTGTGTGACATCATGATGCTCCTTATAACATTCATTGCAAAACCTGACATGAACCTGCCTTGAATGGATACGAACAAAATTATTCGATAACTTTTTACTACCCGGACTAGGCCTAGGCCAACAATTCATATCTTGTGCTGCTACAAAAAGTGAATTTCTACAGCTATTATTCGATGGGCAGTACCAGTGGAATCCTAGGCCTGCAGAGTGGCCCAATTGTCTTTGGATGATATAAGGAACACTGAAACGTCCAAAACATTTTAACATAGTTATTGTGGATCTGTAGCAATATTCCTACTCTGTTATATTTGATTGTAAAATAATTTTTTATACCTCCATCGAAACACACAGCCAACTCAATACACTCGAGCGAGTTACTTAAGCAGAACACGTGGGACGTCTGACTCGAGCGTGTGAATTACTCGAGCGTGTACAAATGAAAACAACAAACGAGCGGCTGAGATTGTCAGTTAAAAGAAGTCTAGCCTAGGCCTAGCTGATTTAAGGGCCTTGTTTTGGCATCATGATTCACAAGAGTGTAATTTATTTATTTTTCTTTTTGGTGATTTAAAAGAACGAAAATTTACTACAATGCGGTTGGGTTACTGAGGTTAGGTATAGGCTAGGCTTCAGGCTGGTAGTTGGTTCTCGTACGGTATACCTGACGAGACGTTACCATCACGTCCAGCTGCTTGTGTCGACTTGTTGTATTTGGAGGCAACGCTACAGGTAGGTTTGCTGTTTTACTTTTAGACCCGTCAGAGTCAGTCTGAGTCGTATATCAGCTAGTTTCTATGTGTTCTATAGTATAAAGTAGTAGTAGGCCTATGCTAATGTTATCAGTGGTTATTGTTACACCACTCTTAGTCTTAAAGAATTTCTGATCAGGGGTGGCGCCAGGAT